TAAATCCTTAAAAAAAATATATATTATCGTATGATCATTAGATTAGATAGAAGATAGGTAATGCTGACTCGCAGGGGGAGTATCTCAATGGAGTGTCAGTCAAAACACTTGAAGCAAGATCTATTTCTTTACAGTTTATACACCAACGCCAGTACATACTCTCCACATGGTATAAGACTAGTTTATTTACACGCAGCCACAACACCACATGAGGAGTCCAGAGCAGTGAAAGACTGGAGCATACTGTGTCACTGAAGCCACACTATTTAAAGGGACTGATGATTAGAATGATAAGGGGCAGCTGTGAACCATGTGGTAGGCCTTCAATGCGTGCATCAGAGAGGTTTGAACAAACAGTGGGCAGGGCTTCAGGGAGCATGGCAAAAGATTTTCTACAATCATTTATGTGCATTTATGAATTTATGAATGTATGTTATGGGTCATTATCACTATAAAGTGCCTTTTAGATGTCAGAAATTCAAAAGAAAAAAAAAAAAAGGTTTAAGATTTTTTTATTTAACCACCAGTTGTTATATTAATTAGATCTTAGGCTGTAAGAAATGTCACTTTTTATAAATAAACTGCTGGCAAAAAAAAAAACAGTAAACAAACCTCAAATTGCGTCAACCCTGTCATGGACAAATTCAAAATAGTATATTTTCATTGCAGAGTGATTATAAAATGTTTATTTTTAGAAAGGTAATGTGTTTCTTTACCAACCCAACTTTTAAGATTATGGAAAAACTATATTTATATTAATGAAATAATGAACAGAACGTTTGTTTCCCAATAAAATTAACAATTGTTGCACGTTCTTTTCAAAATAAAACCCAAAATCTAAAATATTTTGTCAAAATTTCAAACAATACAAGCTGTCTCTTATTGGTTAATTAGGAAATCACACAAGATGTTTTGCTTAGGTTATGAATAATTTGTTTATTTTCATAAAAGTTTAACATGACGGTGGAAAACAAGATGACAGGGTGGACATTGGCATGTATGTATGTTTATGTTAAACAGTCAATGAGCTCCATTATATGGACTTTAAAAGGAAATCCTTTATATAGACTGACACATATTGCCAAAGGTTTGTATTGTCCAGTCATGTATTGCATCTGGTGTAGCATGTGTATGTATAAGTGTTATAACATAAAACATTAACTAATTACTAATGAAATATTAAATAAATAAATAAAGTGTCAATAACCTTGTCCACCCATCTGGCAAAGTGTTTCTCTATTTAAGCTGTTACACAGTTCAAAAACTTTATGTTTATTTATATATTTTTTATATTAATTAATATTTCATTATGACAGTGTGGACGTGTTAAGCTTGGCAGCATTCAGTTTCAAACACAATATGAGGAAAATAGGAAACATAAGTGTAGATACTTCATGTGTGCACATCAGATGTCTTAACCTGCAAAATGGGCATGGGATGCCAATCAGTACGTCAGAAGGTTTCTTAAAGGGGAATTTACCACATCATGACAGGGTGGACAGCAATTTCAAGGACACGTGCAAAATGATTAATAATAATACTATGAAAACAAAGTAAAAGTTATTAAAATTACTTTTTTGTCAAATAACTTGTTAAAGACAATAAGAATATTTACAAATCTTTTTAATTAGATCTAAATTACTTACATTTTAGACTTTTTGAAGTTGGCTGTGCAGTGTGTGGGACATCACATGGAAAATATCATCCATTCAATAGAAGAATATGGCAAAAACAAAAACATATTTCAAAACAATTATAATTCTCCCTGCATGTGTGTAAAAGTTTAACCAATTATATGAAAACATCAGAATTTCATTATTTCGCATTTACATACAGGACATCTTATAGTGATAATGACCCATATCATCTTTGCATCAATCTACTTAAAATGAATTACCGCTTATGCAGGTTGTTTCTATAATGCTGAAAGTAATTTTGATGTTATTCTGGCTGCCATCATCAGTCTCACACTATTTTTACCCTTTCTGTGAAAAGTTTGAAAACACCATTGTGGAGTTTTTCTTTTATTATTTCAGCAAATAGGATTGTAAAAACTGATTTGTTGTACTCCCCCATTGACTGCGCTCTAAGTTCATCCAACTATGACGAGTTCTGCTGCTAAAAAAACACAGAAATGTTAAAAGGGTTTATTTATCGATTTATATTTGTTGATATTGATTACAATATTTCACTTTCTTTTATTTTTTGCACTCAGACACACATCTCCACTTCAGGAGCACTAAGCAGACGCCAAACTTAGCAGTTTTATTCATATCTGTATTCTGAAGGTTTTTACTGAGGTCTGGTTATATATGACATTTTATTTGACAAAGTTTGTGACTTTTTGCATGTTGCTATAGCGTTAAATAATTCATTCATTTTTCTTCGGCTTAGTCCCTTTATATTTTCAAGAGTTCACACTTAGCTGATTATTGATTATAAGCTTGTTTGGCATGCCATCCCAAGAGAGACCTCAGCTCCTCGAGCTGAGACCCTCGAGCCCGGGGCTCCCTCACATTGCAAGGCAGGAGGGGAGTTTGAGCTCAGGTAGATCTTGACTGCTGTAGTAACTAATGAACAGATAGTAATTGCTCAAGATAACTATTTACTAGAAGCATGTCTATGGTGCCGATTTGGATTAGTCAGTTAACTTAAGTTGTATGTTTTTGGATGGTGGGAGAAAACAGGGAAACCCGGGGGAAACCCACGTGAGCAAGTGCAAACTCCGCACAGAAACGTCAACTTGTTTGGTAAAGCCTGGAACCAGAGACGTTCTTGATGAGGGGCAACAGTGCTAAGCACTGAGCCATCATGTCACCGATCTAGGACGAAGGAGGAGTAGGAAGGGGGGACTCTTCAAAACGAAGATAGTGGCGGAATTTAACCCAGGGTATTTGTAGTAGTTTAGGAATTGTCTGATTGGTGCATTGAGAATTGGATAATGCAGATCCAGCCTCTAGCAATCATAAGCATGTGATCCTCTCGAAATAAGTTTATAAATAAACTTCCCTTAGGGGATGCACTTGCTGAAGGAACTACCAACTATTCCAGCATATGTTTTACACTGCGGATGCCCTTCAGCTGCAACCCAGTACTGGGAAACATCCATACACACTCATTAATATTCATACACTACGGCCAAGTTAGTTTATTCAATTCACCTATACAGCATTCATTTGGACTGTGGGGAACACCGAAGGAAGCCCACGCCAACATAGGGAGAACATACAAACTTTGCACAGAAATGTCAACCGGCCCAACCAGGACTCGAACCAGTGACCTTCTTGCTGTGAGGCGACAGTGCTAACCATTGAGCCACTGTGTCATCCTTCATTGATTTCTATTTGTAGATTTTATCATAAAACATGAAAAAAAAAACTTAGAATAAAATGTTATACATTACCAGGTGTCAGTAAAGATCTTCAGAATACAGATCTGAATAAAACTGCTAAGTTTGGTGTCTGTATTTTTCTGCAACCTCACTGTGCGACCATCCTGAATGTTAACAAACATGGTAATTTGTATGCTAGGCCTACAAAATATGTTTGCATAATGTAATTTAACCAACAGGAAGTATGGTGATTACTGTTCTGTTTTGTTGTACACTATTTGGGTTCAACTGTCTTAACAGATTATATTAGTTCAGGCATAGTTTTCTTTTTCCTATTATCAAAGTCAATGGCAATTCTAAAATTCTTTAAAGTATCTTTGTTTGTGTATAACAAAAAAATAATCTAATGCAGTATTCAATTTTGTATACTAATACAGTATTCAATTTTCAAATCTAATACAGTATTCAATTCAATTCAATACAGTTTTCAATTTCAGTATTCAATCTAATACAGTATTCAAAATCTAATACAGTATTCAAAATCTAATACAGTATTCTACAGTGGTAGGTAGTGCTGTTACCTCACAGCAAGAAGGTTACTGGTTCAAGCCTCGGCTGGGTCAGTTGGCGTTTCTGTGTGGAGTTTGCATGTTCTCCCTGTGTTCGCGTGGGTTTTCTCCAGGTGCTCCGGTTTCCCCCACAGTCCAAAGATATGTGGTACAGGTGAATTGAGTAAGCTAAATTGCCCGCAGTGTGTGAGTGTAAATGAGTGTGTGTTGATGTTTCCCAGAGATGGGTTGTGGCTAGAAGGGCATCCGCTGCATAAAAACGTGCTGGATAAGTTGGCGGTTCATTCTGCTGTGGCAACCCCAGATTAATAAAAGGACTAAGCCAAAAAGAAAATGAATGAATGAATGAGTATTCAATTTTAATAAAGTATATGCACAGCTGTGAACTTCCGGTGAACGGTTAATGTGACATCGATGTTGTAATTTAATGAAAATATAATCAGTTAAATAGACTTAAGAATTCATTTAGTTGTTCAAGCGTAAAATGACATGAAAAGCTGTTTACACACAAATGGTTTTCACACAGGCTATAGCACAGAAACTCCTTTAAATATACTGGGGTAAAATAAATCTGAATATTTTAAAGACATTAAAAAAAAAAATGTAATGCAGTGCATCTTGTACAATCCGAGGCCCACTGTATATCGTATATCAACCAGGCAGTGAAGATTGATTTTTAAAGAAAACAGACCTTAAATGTAGCGATTTTGTAACTGCATACAGTTCGCCAGTAGAGCTTGACCCAGGTTACTGCAAAATTAAAAGTCCTTCTACATCTGGGGTGGTCAACCCTGTTCCTGGAGAGCCACCTTCCTACATATTTCAGTTGCAACCCATATCAAACACACCTGCCTGTAATTATCATGTGGTGTTCAGGTCCTAATTACTTGGTTCAGGTGTGTTTGATATGGGTAGCAACTGAAATCTGCAGGAAGGTGGCTCTCCAGGAACAGTATTGACCACCCCTTGTAAACATTCAGCATTCACCCTATTATGGGTGAACGAAATGAAGTAACAGTGTTTTCTCCACGACGTTAGGGGCGCACGACTTTTATCTCCGCCTGCTTTGGTTTTCCGGTCGCGGCGCAACATGAACTTCCTTTTCTCAGTGCAGCGGGAGCAGTATCGGAGTCTGAAGAGTTCAGTCTCCCAACCTAAAGGAGAACAAACGATCACAAAATGGTCAGTAAATCTCCAAAATAAGCCGTTCTGCTCGTTTCATTCCCTCATCCACTATTTCAGCTCGATTATTAAGACAGATGAACACTGCAAGCGACTGGATGGTGTTAGATTCAATCGACCAGTCCAGTCGCTGCGCAAACGTCAAAGGCACATTTCCCTCGAAAAGCCCTGATATTTATTTTGAAGGCTCGAAAAATAAAAGCGTCCCTTTAGAAAATGTTTGTATGTGTGCCCTTGTTATTATTAGGTATTTATGTTTGCCGTCGCAGTTGTTCAATGCTGTCATGAGTGAATTAGTAGTAAATTTCCAATTGACTTTCCTGTTTGTCAACAGTTTAACTCACAATAAAATTGTTTGTCTCAGGGTTTCGTTAAGGTTGTTAAGAACAAGTCGTATTTCAGGAGGTACCAGGTGAAGTTCAGGAGAAGGAGAGGTATGTTGACGTGTTTCTTATAGTTTGTGAAATATGTTATTAGCTGACTTTGAATTGGCTTGTGTTTGAGTGAATAAAACCAAAAACAATCAAAGTAATCATCTAGCTTGGCCTGACTGGGGTTTTAGTTGTTTTAGCTGGTCAGCACGGCAGTGAGATGTGTTTCTGTGGGTCTTAAAAAGTGTAAATTGTCTCTTCTACAAAGTAAACCTTTAAGAAAACAGTCGTACATTTATAAAATCTTGCTATTAAATGTCACATTTACTCCAAAAAAAAAAACTATTATTAATTAGTATTCGTTTCCCAATACAAATATCTCAACATTAAGTCAAAATGCATTTACGATGATAAAAAATTAATGCTATTAGAGGTGGCCGATTATTCGAAAAGTAATCGAAATTGACATTCAGAACCTATAAACCATCTGTTTTTTCCAGAACGATTTTTTCAGTTACTTTTCCAACACGTGTGGCGTATGAAATACTGTTTCAGGGTTCAAGCCGCTACTCGTTTGAATTAAGAAAATATTTGTTTATGACCACTTTTAGTCCCATCACACATTAAAGTGAATTTTATTTAAAATAATAGTGTACACCGCAGTCTCTGGACTTGCTGCATCACAAATGCCAAATTTTTAACAATTTATAAAAAATGTATCACTTTTTGGCCATCTGATATTAGGCATGGATATAGTTTAAGTCAGAATTATTAGCCCCCCTTTGATTTTTTTTTTTTTTTTTTGTATATATTTCCCAAATGATGTTTTCACAGGACATTTTCACAGTAAATCTGATAATATTTTTTCTTCTGGAGAAAGTCTTATTTGTTTTATGTTGACCAGAATAAAAGCAGTTTTTAATTTTTTTTTAAAAACAATTTTAAGGTCAATATTATTAACCTCTTTAAACTATATATTTTTTCAATAGTCTACAGAACAAACCATCATTATACAATAACTTGCCTAATTACCCTAACCTGCCTAGTTAACCTAATTAATCTAGTTAAGTTTTTAAATGTCACTTTAAGCTGTATAGAATTGTCTTGAAAATTATTAGATATGAGTTATTAAAACTATTATGTGTTGAAAAAATCTTCCCTTCAGTAAACAGAAATTGGGAAAAAAATAAACAGGGAGGGCTAATAATTCTGACTTAATCTGTGTATTACGATCGTGATTTTCAAAAGTATTAAGCTGCGGTCACACTGGGCTTTTCTCCCCATAGACCTCCATTCATACGCACACAAATGTGTCAGACTGGAAACGCAGGGTCCGCAGGGTTACGTTTGTAAACGTTTATTATTACCATTTGATGAGTCTCCCCATACAGTTTGATTATAGCGATTGGACCCAGAAGCCGCTTCGTGTGACGTCACACTTAACAAGCGGATTAAAGGCTGAGGCTAATTTATACTTCTGCGGCCATTTTAAATTGAATTACGCTCTAGATTAGCTTGAAATAATGTGCAGGGTTTTAAAATGTCTTAAATTACAAAAAACGAAATTTTAGGCCTTAAAAGGCTTAAGTTCACCGACTTATTGTCTTGCAGGTCTTAAATTTTAAATGGGTCTTAATTTTTCTTGTTTATGCAAAGTTACCCAGACAATCCAACACGCATCCAATCACAGACAATACATCTCAACAAAACTTTTAGCAAAACTCTATTTATAAGTAATATTATAACAGTTTGTTGTACATTTAGTTTATCAAAGTTTTAATGTACGTCATGTTGAAAAAAAAAAATAAAGGTTTGTTGTTTTGACACAGTAATTAAAATTATGCTAGGAAATAACTAATTAGAATTTTTTTTTTTTTTTTTTTTTTTTTTTTTTTTTGATGGTACAACTACATTTTTTTTTTTATTGCTGGGCCATTTAAAAAAGCCATAGTGTTAGTCTTGAATTTGACTTGTTGAAACCCGCAGAAACCCTGATGTGGTTACAAGATGGCATTTAATTCATACTGTTTTGTAGAGAAATGTGGGCTAAAATTTGTACATAATAATTATTGGTGCTTGCTAAAGGTTTAAAATGGCTTGTCCTTCGGTCATAAATGAAAATTTGCAGGCACATATGATCTCTGGTCAAGTAGGATGATGAACCCATTCTTGAGCCTTACTTTGCACTACATTGACAATGATTGAAAGCTGTGCTAGAGATGCCTTGAGATTAGGGCTGCACGATTCTGACAAAAATGTGAATCACAATTTTTTTTGCTCAAAATCAAGATCACCATTCTGTAAATGTAAAACAAAGGTTAATATGATTAGCCTATTATTATTGTTAATTCTCAAACATGGTAAACAATTATAACAGGCCTATGTGTATCTCTACTGTTGCTTAAAATGCACAATTTTATGGTGGACTTGAACAGACTTTCAATATGTCCTGTTTGTTAATTTACAGTAAAATTATGACATCAGAATACATCTATTCATAACTATAAAATTCAATTATGTTTGAGACATGTTCTTGTCATCTGCCATTGACAACATTATTAGACTATTATATTTCCATAATATATAGGCTAGGATTGTTATACTGACACAGTAAACATTTATTTTCATGCACAACTCTGTGTTCGCTATGAAAGAAAAAACGTATCAAATGCTTGTCATAATCATAACTCTAAAATGCCATATGATCATTTAAATGATGTGTGCACAGGTTTCACATTCACTTTCTAGTGCGTCTCATAGCTGCTGTCACTGTGAGAGAGAAAAAACACACACATGCAAATCAAACCTCCCGCACGACCCTCAAACACCGCTCTGTGCAACAAACGGAACGTTATTTACAATATCATTACCTATTATTCACAGCATATGCAGGTTGTGTTCACTAAAGTAAGTGTTATTTGCATGCACGCCCACGATCTCGGCAGTAAATAAACAGTGCGTCAGCTCAAATGCGATTTTGCAACCGTAAATACATTATTACATGAAGACAGAAATTACATTTTGGGTGAATTCTACTTTATAGTATGTGACACTTTTAACCCATTTGAAGGTGTCAATGTTGCTGCTAAGACTTTTGCAGTCGCCTTGTCTTCTCTCCTGACCTGGAAAATATAATTGGCTAAATCGTATAAAAAGCTGAATTAGGATCACGTGTCGGGTCGAATCGAGATTGTGATCTTTTTTTCGATTAATCATGCCGCCCTACTTGAGATGGCATATTATTCATTACATTCAAATTATTATTTATATTAAAATATTTGTTTACAGAAGATGCAAGAAATTCACTGGTTAAAATATTATTTACAGAAAATGCAAGAATATTTTATTTAGGAGAAATGCTGCTTATGTTCTACTTTTAATATGAAAAACATTGGAAATAATTTATTTTGTTTCCAAAAGTGCAAATTATTGTAACTTTTTACAAGTAAAAAGTGACTTTTGGTTTTAGGCAATGTGTGTTTTAGTTTGTAAAACTGCGTTTTAGTAAATAAATAAAATAATCGTTCATTTATTGTAATCGAGTAAAATGTTAATCGAGATTTAGATTTTTGGCCAAATTGCCTAGCCTTAAATGCTATAAATTGTTTTTGACTAGACTAAATTGGGGGTTAAAATATGATTGTCAATGCACTTAAAGTTACTGGTATTTTAGTTTTAATTATAAACAGTAGTAAAAATAAATAGATCTTGATTTAAGAATGTTTGGACTAGAAACAAGACAACCCCTAAGCTATTCTCTTAATAATTAAAATTGACAATTTTACTATATTTATTACTTAGACCTAACAAATTACTGTAAATAGTTTTTACATTTACCTCCGTAAAGTAGCGATGGCTGCTTTTTGAATTGCTGTTTCATGCTTTGAATCTTTTAGGTATTTTGTTTTTAATCAATGGTTCAGAGCATGTATGTATTTAGATTGAGGTAAAGTTGGTTTTATATTCCCATATTTTTTCATTCATTTAACGGTCCCTATATTGTTTACCATGCTAATTTGAATATTGGGTCTGAAATCGCATGCAATAATGACTTTAAAGCATTGTTAGAAGTATTCAATTGACTGTAAACAATGTTGTACTTTGATAGTCATTGGCTACTAATATGATTTCTCTATTTAGAATTTACAAATAATACTTTTCTGAAATTATATAAATGGGGAGAATGCTCGAATTTGCAAATATAAAACCAACTTTATCGCAAATCTATTTGACAAGGTCATGTGATTCTAGTAAACAACTTTATTACGTCATAAAAATCTGTAGTTCTTGCCCAATTGCTTTAGTAGTATTTATTTACCTGATCTCAGATCAGTTTTGAGTTTGTGGATGTTTTAATGAGACATTTGTGAAATTAAAAGGAAAAATAGTAGTTAATAGTATTTTGTGCTATTTAGAAGAGCCCAGAATGAACAAACAATATAAGCCTTGAAAATTCTTCGATTTATGCAAACTCTTAATATTTATTTATTTTAGACAAGCTGAGTGCATTTTATGTGCAAGTTATAACTTAATCTATGTTTAGTTCTGTTTTATGTTGAGTTTTTGTTGCACTTACATGGTTTTAACCAGCTGGTGCCCCAAGTATGTGGTATTTCAAACGTTTCAAACTAAATCAGTCTGCAAGGAAATTAGTTCACTTGTTTAAAAGCTTTGAAAAGCTTTGTTTCTCTCATCAATACCAATAAGCCAGCAAAAACCCTAAAGCCACCTTGGTAGACCAGCAAAAAAGCTCAGGATGATTATTATTAATTACTGTTTTCTAACACAATTCATTGTTTCAGAGGGGAAAACTGACTACTTTGCCCGTAAGCGTCTTGTCATCCAGGATAAGAACAAGTACAACACACCGAAGTACAGGATGATCATTCGGTTCTCCAACAGGGATATTGTTTGCCAGGTATGAACTTCCTCTATGTGATTGTTACCTGCATTTCTGAATTATATAACTGAATATATCAGTAAAATTTGTCTTTCTATCTGTCAGATCGCATATGCCAAAATTGAAGGCGACGCGATCGTCTGCGCTGCTTACTCTCACGAGTTGCCAAAATATGGCATTGCTTGTGGACTGACCAACTACGCTGCGGCCTACTGCACCGGTTTACTGTGTGCTCGCAGGGTAAAATGAATACCTTTCATGAACATCTTTCAGTACAGTTTAAATCTCTGAGTAGGGTAAAACTCAGACTTGTTTTCTGCTTGCAGCTGCTGAATAAGTTTGGTCTGGATAAGGTCTACGAAGGCCAGGTTGAGGTGACAGGCGATGAGTTTAACGTGGAAAGCATTGATGGCCAGCCAGGGGCTTTTTCTTGCTACCTGGATGCCGGTTTGACTAGAACCACCACAGGGAACAAAGTGTTTGGAGCTCTTAAAGGAGCAGTGGATGGAGGACTGTCCATTCCTCACAGGTCAGTGCATATGGTGATTAGCATGTATAGTAGTCAACATTTGAAATGGATTTGACAACATAAAAACATTTAGGACAACATTGATTAAATGTTTTGATCCACTTCAAATGTTGATGACTGTATATTTGAGCTGCACAATTCTGGGAAGATTAATATGTGATGTTGTAGAGTATTGCTATAAAGATACTTATTGCGTTATTTAATGTAACATCGTACTTTTAAAAAATCATAATTAATATATTTTTATCTTAATAAATGAAATTCAGGCAAAATTAAACTGTCAGGGTGTAAACATCTCCACTGTAAAACACTTAGGGGATGTAATGATTGGCTCAACTCACGATTTGATAGGATAAATGCTGCTACCAAAATAATTTTAGACCGTTTCGAAATGAAAAAGTGGCATTTTATTATTTCTCAAATGCTGCACATTACTTTGGAAAAAAAAAAAAAAATAAAATATATATATATATATATATATATATATATATATATATATATATATATATATGTATTTTGCCTAATAATGAAGCTAAATAGCAATTTTATGATAAATTTCACATAAAATAGAAAAGTCTGAATATATGCATCTGATAAAAAGAGCATTCTTTATAGGGTTTTTATATAAACGTGTAAAATGGCATCAAAAGTAAAAAAAGTTGAAAAAAAAGCTTGAAATTGCTTTCCATTGTTGTCAATTTTTTGTGTTTTAGTGGCATTGACTTAATAGTACAGCTGAACTGGTAAATATTCCGCATAGTGCAGGGGTGTCAGAACTTTTTAGGCCGAGGGCCAGATGCAAAAAAACAAACGTTGTCGCGGGCCAAATTTTACATACTTCACACAGACACGCATATATATATATATATATATACACACACAGTTGAAGTCAGAATTGTTAGCCCCCCTAAATTATTAGCCCCCCTAAATTATTAGATTTTTTTCCACACATTTCTAAACATATTAGTTTTAGTAACTCATTTCTAATAACTGATTTATTTTATCTTTGCCATGATGACAGTAAATAATATTTGACTAGATATTTTTGAGACACTTTTATACAGCTTAAAGTGTCATTTAAAGGCTTAACTAGGTTAATAAAGTTAACTAGTCAAGTTAAGGTAATTAATAAGTTATTTTATAACAATGGTTTGTTCTGAAGACTTAAGGGGCTAATAATTTTGACCTTAAAATGGTTCATAAAAAAATTTAAACCGCTTTTTATTCTAGTCGAAATAAAACAAAAGTCTTTCTCCAAAAGAAAAAATATTATCAGACATACTGTAAAAATGTCCTTGCTCTGTTAAACATCATTTGGGAAATATTTAAAAAAGAAGAAATAAATCAAAGAGGGGCTAATAATTCAGACTTCAACTGTGTGTAGACAGACAGACAGACAGACAGACAGACAGACAGACAGACAGACAGACAGATAGATAGATAGATAGATAGATAGATAGATAGATAGATAGATAGATAGATAGATAGATCATAACAAGAACTACTGCTTAATTGAATGCATGTAATAGCGACACCCGGTGGTTATTTATTGAATTACGTTCATTTTTGTATAGCGGGCCAGATTCTATTATTATTTATAAAAAGCCTCGCGGGCCACCACAAAACTGATTGCGGGCCGCAGATGGCCCGCGGGCTGTAGTTTGGACACGCCTGGCATAGTGTCTCCAGGAAAGATTTTTGATTTCTTTTATCACATGTTAACATCAAATATTTTGTCTAATTTATGTATTTGTTTGTTTCTTTTATTGTATATTTATTAAAGGGTCACGAACCACCCCCCCCCCCCCCCCCCCTGTCTCAGCAGGGTGTTTTTACAGTGTCAGGGGAGGGAAAGAGGGAAGGGTTTGCATTAAAATGTTAGTTTCCGTTTGGGCACGTGCTAAATTATTTGACAAATTATTTATTTGTTAACTTCAACTGCAGTTTAGCACTTTAACTTTTATTCGGGAACTTTTCATGCATGCCCCCTGTGACATGAGATATAGGATGTGAGGAACTGCTGGAAGAGTGTAGTTTTAATCAAATCTTTGATACCGCACAGCGAATGGGGAAAAAAAAACTCAGAATTTCTCAGTAACTGTCAAAAAGCCATGTGTGTATAGACTATCCTGTAAAAAATGCAGTGAAAATTTTACATGACGGTAATTGTTTGATTGCGGTGTTTACATGTTTACACTTGGAAAGCAGCATTTACAGCGGATCTTTGAAGCCATAATATTAAAGTGATATTAACATACTGTAAGCTAAGTCATTTTGTCATTTTGACTGAAGTTTGTCTCTAAAAACTGAACGAGTTCTGCTGACAATACGAACTAACTTTGCCATCTGAATAAACAAACAAAGACTATTGATCGCTCACATACCAAATATGTAGAGACAGGACAGTCAACACCAACTGGAACCGCATCTTTTTAAACAGGAGACTAACAGCAAATCCGGATTTCACCATTTCCAGATACGAAAAGCTCTCGGGTAAAAAAATGATCCCTACAAACATATTTCTGTCTCGTGCACTGTAGTCCACACGTGAGTCCAGCTGCGCTCTCATAGTGGGAAATGAAAACAAAACCTTTGTTGCAGAACATTTATAATTATAAACAAAACACTGACAACCCATGTCTCCAAACAATTCTTGTTCTTCCACTTGTTTTGGCAACCCACAGTGGCGTCTCTCTGCCATCTGAACACTGCACAGGTAAAAAGCTTTCATGCATATTAATGAAGTTGCACCTCATACACAACAAAGCGTGCTGATTGGTTTGAACCAAGTCTTTCTCATGAATTAATGCGGCACACTCAGAGACGTCCCGATGTACTCACCATTACAAACATCCACTCTCCATGCTGGATTACACGCAAGGATCTAATCTCTGACGCAGCTTCAAAATTTCATTTCAAACCGGAAGATCATATTTGCTCAAAATAACACAAAATAACCAATTTTCACTTTTTTTGTGAAATGTGTCCTCATAATGTTTTCAGAAGCATGGGGCACATATATGACTGTAAACAGCTCAAAATAGTGTGTTTTAGGGTTTCGTGACCCTTTAATGAAATGTTTTGTCATTAAAAATTGCCATTGTTGCTGACCTGACATTATATAAAAAGATTATGCAGGCTGACACTCCTGATTTGAATGAGGATGTTGATTATTAAGCTTCCTCAATATCAACATTCATAGTTGTCTGTACTTTAAACTTATCTGCAGCAGATCTTTCACTGCTATTGAGCATTTTAAGTGAGTTTAGAGTAAACACAATGGGTCTTTTCACTAAAGATGCATAGGCACAAATTTTCATATGAAATGTGCTTATGGGCGTTTTCATGAATAATTAATGCTGCATTGAAACGTATTAAATCATTCTTAACGCAATAGAAAAAACAAAAAAAAAACAAGAACAATTTGTATCAAATGCATGCAATCATGTATGCCTGGGGCCTTATAAGCTTGTATGAATAATCCTGTATCTAATTGTGTTATTTACAGGGTTGGTGAAAAGGAACTAGACACTAAAAATCAATAATACAGCCCAACTAGAGATCCAAATATATAAATTAAACACTTTATTTTGATGGTCCATTCGAGTATTATTAGACTGTATGCTTAATATTTGTTGATACCTCTGCTAAACAGACATTTAACTGACTATAAAAGACTTTGCAAGTACATGTCAACTTACACTAACTCAAACCTCAACCTAACAGTCTCCTTATAATCTAGTGAGAATTAGTTGGCATGTAGATGCAATGTAACTTAAATTCAACAAATGGACCATCAAAACAAAGTGTGACCTATAAGTTTACTTTAATAAACTTTATCGAGTCCACAGATAGTTTGCTGAGTGACGAATGGCTGTTCATTCAGTTAAGATTGCCTAAGTCATTTATGTAGCTTTTTAAAATTGCTTTAACCTCCGTAGACAAAACCTCATGTTTATTATTGTTAAAGTTCTTTTTCTTTGTCTTTTGTTTCAGTGCTAAAATTGTATTTCTCTTGACAAGTGCTGCTTTGGGGAATGCCCTTATATGGATCTGGTTTGGGCTTATATTATGTGAATTCATGTTTTGGGATTAGGTAAAATGCTAAAATGTGCATATCAATGTGAAAAACACAACATTATAACATACAATAGTAATATAGCTGTATTGCCATTCATTTAGTATCCAATCCGATTTGAATGGGTTACAAGTTTAAAATGCTGCACCATATGGTGAAAAAAATGTAGTTGCGATTTTATCTGGTCAAATTTGTTATTTAAAATGTGATTTACTATAATGTAATGAAAGAGCTGCAGGTTTGACATGATGGTTTTAACAGCACCGAAGAAAGACCAAGCATAAATAATCACATTAAGATAATAACTACAGTATTTAATGGTTTCTGCTACATTAAATCAAAAAGATTTGCATGCTGTTGGCTATTACATAAATGCGATTTCGACTTGTAATACTGCGCTCACGACATTTGTCATTGAAATAATGCCACAGGTAGTTGGTAGATGTGGGAAAAAAAGGCTTGCCGCCACAGCTGGATAAAACCTGGTGGAAACACTGTATTTTAAATTCAGTTAAATTAATTCTATATAAGATCTTATCTATAGATTTATAAAACCTTTGGATTGTCACATTTTTCACATAAATCTTGACATTCACGGTGCATTGACAATGCTTTCCATACACAATTTTAGATTTTTCTGCACAGCACAAGAGCTCTCGTTTTAAAATGTATAATTTAAAAATATTTTATACATATTTAATACAAGCAGTCAGATGTTTGAACTGCACCTTTAGTTTTACCTGTTTAAGGAAAACACTTTCTGAATGTATCAAACAAAACTCAAGTACTTGCACTGAAGACAACCTGAGCATTTATAGCAAATAAATAAATGTAAATATTATCCCATCTTGCTTTTTGAGTGTTGTCCAGCGAGTTCTTAAATGCCTATGATTGGTTATTGTGTTCATGCGCTCAACAAAAAAGGTTGTGATTGGCTCTAAACTGCCATTATTGACCTATGAGTGACGTGGATACAGAAAAACGGCCACCGTTACAATCTGTGGGCATAATAATGCATGGTTATCAAAGCTGATAAATCCACAAGTATCGCTTTAAACTTCCTTGCTGTAGTAATCGAATAATCACTGCTTTTGTGATTTTGAAAATTGCACCTTTTCAAATCGCAGTTTCGGTTAAAAAATGATTAATCGTGCCTGATTTCCAACATTAGTAGTCTTCTGACCACATTTTTGGAGCCACTTTAATATTCCAAAATGAGACAATTAAAAGCATTATTGAGAACAGCAGCCTTTCTGCTCTGAACAGAAACAATTTGGTGAAAAAAATGTAAGTACACAGATTCATACTCCAAAAGTGATGACCTTATTGTAGTGTTTGTTTCTAACACAGAAAATGATAGACGTGAAATTGATTAATAACATTTTTTGCAATTTTCTTGTTCTTTTTTTAAATCTCTTTCATATAAGTCAAATGTGCAAATGAAGTGTGCTTTTATGTCCAATCATTATTGTCATTTGATAAAAATTGTAACTTTTTTTTTTTTCAGCACAAAGCGGTTCCCGGGCTATGACTCTGAAAGCAAAGAGTTCAATGCGGAGGTGCACAGGAAGCACATCTTGGGTCTGAATGTGTCCGAGTACATGAGCCTTCTGATGGAGGAGGACGAGGAACTGTACAAGAAACAGTTCTCCCGCTTCATCAAGAACGGCGTCACACCTGAATCTGTAAGAAAGCTCTTCGCCACCTCACTGCTAACATATGCCTGCTTATGCTTTAGAGTGAAATCACCGTAGATTTGATTGTTATATAAGGATTTTATTTATTCAACTCATTTATTTTCATTTAGTTTCTTTCCTCTCACTTTCACTCCAAGTTTTTAATAGAGTGGAGGAAATATGACGTCCCCTTGTAGGCTAACCAGGTACTAGCATAAAACTGGTTCCCTTGATAAAATCCCTATAGGATTTTCCCATAGGCTTTTAGAAAATTCCAAACAATAAGCTCTGTATTCAAACACTGTTCATACGCTTACACGTTTTGTCCAGCCGGATAATCCTCACACAAAAATACAACTTTACATTTTTGGATCTTAAATGCAAACGTAAGAATTGAAAAGCTAACATTAGGCTATAAACCGAGTTTTTAAAATGTTGCTTCTGAGTTTGGTTTCAGAATTGGTAAATTGATGTAATTACAAGTGAACGCCATGTGATGGCAGTATTGTACGCGGTACAGTTGGCGCAACCAGTAGAATTAGAACACACTCGTATATTAAAATGCACTCAACCGTTAATGACTGAAAATGAGTCAAGCTAAAAAAAAATGGACTCTAAATGTCGTGTGTTAAAGGAAGAATAGACAACAAAATACTTCTTCACCAATATCGGACAGAAAGCAGTAGGTCTAATATGCTAAGCGAGTATTGCTATTTTTAAAGACTTCAAACTAAGGGGCGGATCACACCAAACGCACATTTACATTGCAAAACGCGAGGTGCACCATGCTGCCTTTTTTTTGACAAGAAAAAAAATATCTTTTTTATGTCGTTAGGCAACGACTGGATCAGCTAGGTATTTCGCAAGAGTGTTGCTGTTAAATATTGATATAACTTTATTTTTAGGCTCATTGTTCACATTAACAAACTCAATAATAATATGACTTGAAATAACAAATACTAAGATTCGTCTTCCATTTTATCTCATAGTTTTATGATTGATAAGAGCATATTAATACAAGCTCAAATGAGATTGCTGTGAATTTGACTCAAATTATATAATAATTGCTGGTAAAATGTGTTAATTTTTGTCATAGAATATATTTTCCATGCATACATTCACTTTAAAAAGTTCTTTTATTAAAGATAAGTTTTTTTATCCAGTGGTTTGATGATTGATACATATTGATACACTGCTAAAAGCAGTGCAAATTAGATTACTGTAAATTTGACTGAATAGTAATTTTTTAAGAATTATTTTTAATGTGTTAATATGAGATTTTTTTTTATCAAACAATATATTTTCTATTCCCCACTGTAAAAATGATTACTTTATTATTATATTTTATAAGAGATTATTTTATTGTTTTATGATGACTGATAAGTGATGATAAATATAAATAGTGCAAATTTATTTGACTTGTAAATTTGACTCAATAACTATTAAAAAAAATCTGTTTTGTGTTAATGTGACATGTTTCTGTCCAATATTACATATTCCATGTATATTGCCACTATAAATAAAAGTTTTTTTTAAGGATTTGACATTTGGCCCATCACTTGGTTTGCAAAACTTGATGTGGCCCTCGGGTCTAAAAAGTTTACCCACCACTGCTATAAACGGACTGCACTGCCTTCAGGGCGCTTGCCTGTGACATCAGCACCACCCTGCAACTTTTCAAGCTTTTTTTACAAACATGGTTTAAGACAGAGATTTACTCTCTCGGTTTATTATATTATAATCCACGAAGAAAAAAACGACAAAATCAATTGATCACGTTAAAATGAGAATTAACATGTATGTATTTCTTACACATTCATTCACACGTTTGCATTACTGAGAGCAGGAAAGAGACAGGCTGCACTGCAGTATCTTCATAATATCATTTAACTAAAATAAGCGATCAACCAATTAATCTGTCTTGACTGTCTTTACAAGTGAAGGCATTAACACACAATCTGAATTTCCAATTAGAAAAATACTACTAACTATAAAATACTATTCATGAAAATACTTAAATCACAGACAAATGCAAAACGCAAACCGGCTGAGCTCCAGACCACATCAGCACGATGACATACCTCCACACCGCCTGTTGTCCCATTTAGCAACTTGATAGCAACCGTCTTTTTAAAGAAGCGTAACCAATTTAAAAAATCAAGAGTGAGATGTAACTGATGTGTTTTATGTCGTAGAGTAAAACGTGAAAGTATCTTGCGTTTGTGTCAGCCACAAACTTTTTTTTTTACTAAAATCCCATAGAAAAAACCTATTGACTTTGGGATGAGGGAAACTGAACTGCTAAAATGCTAACTCGCTTTCAGGTTTTTGCATACAAATTGACGTCAAAGTTCCTCCACTCTGTTGTATTTGATTATAGCCAAGTGACCTCAATGCCTAGGTCGAAAGAGTTTGTTTATAGGGTAAACGTTTGATTCTGTACAGTGCTTAAGAATTGATAAAACTGTTAATCACTGGAATGAAATCACCACGTAAACATTTTGTTGGTTCAGTTGTTTTAAACTACACAGATTGCTAAGCTTTTTCATTTTAAAGTCTACGTGCAGTAGAAGTTGCTGAGACTTTTGTTTCAGTATGTTGATGTACTTCTAACTGAAACAAAATCTTAAGTAGGTGGCGGCGCTTTCTTTTTGCACATCATTTACTTGCAGCAAACAAATGGTAAAAGGGGCGTGTTTAAGAATATTATGGCTAAAGCCGTCAGATTGACATCATCAGAGAAGAACCACCTCTTAAAACGTGGAAGCAAATGGTTTGATTTGATTATAGATTACCAAAACAAAACTTTTTTTAATTGGATTAATGGTTCACCTCAAAAATATCAATGTGAGCTAGCAAAATAAACATTGTAAATTTTGATTTCATACAGACTTTAAAACATTGATTATGAAAGCTGTGATTGTGGATAAAATGCTGTATCATCAGTAGATCCAGTGTTTGTGGCCCGATGATGTTGACATTTTTTTTCAATACGTTTCATTTCTTTGCTGAATTATTGTCTGTTGTGTAGTATTGTAAACTATTGATGTCCTACTTCCACCTGTCCTATTGTTAAACAATCATCTGGTTCCTGCAGATTGAAGAGATGTACAAGAAGGCTCATGCTTCCATCCGTGAGAACCCTGTTCATGAGAGGAAGCCCAAGAGAGAAGTCAAGAAGAAGAGGTGCGTTCTCAAGCTTTCTTTCTTTATTATTTCTTATAGCTGGAAATCATAGGATTTGCATTGGCATGAAACTTGAAAAGTGTCAGCATCATGTTGATCTGATAGCAAAATCTGGACATAATGCTGAGGTTTTAGCGGCAACTTTTTTTTTTTTTTTAAGTTCCATGTCAAATATTGATGTTACCTCTCTTTTAAAGTCAAGTCAAAAAGTTAGGACACCCTATAAAATTTAGATTTTTTTTAATATCAGAAATAATCTGATCTTTGGCAGATCTTAAGATTTGGAAAATTAGTTTATGCAACAAAACAATGATCACAAACACAGCAGCAAATTTAAAAAAATATTGACACAAAAAAAAACTCCAAAACTTGTCCAGAATGATCTGAGAGACTGACGAGGTCATAAAGAAGTGATTACTTTAATGCCGAGTTCAGACTGCATGATTTTAGCCAAGATTTTGACGACGACAGGTTTTTGAGAAATCAGACAAATGCTTGAAATCACTGGCAAATCGGTGCTCGTGCACGTGAGTAACGATCACACAGTATGAACCATCAAAGACGCCATCTGGGAGAATTGAAATGTGAAATGTATTTGGTTTCCAAGTAACATTGTCGATCATTTACAGCGAATGAGAGAGCAGCATCCACTAGTATGGGTATGTGCAGGTCAACGAGAGGTTGAGGGAGAAGTTCAAAGCGCTCATTTTCAGTTTTCGTTCATTTTCAGCTCATTTTGTTTATTTGGACCCAACAAAAGGAAAAAAAACTTGTGTATATTTGGCAGAAGCACCTGTGTCTGTTTGATGTGTCATCTGAGCAATACCACAAGCAGGTCGAAAAAGAAAAAAAGTTAAAGAGAAATTATGAATTTTCTTTATAACCCAAGAGAGCAAAATAAGTAGATTTTTCTACCCCACTGAAGGTTTCTTTTTAATTATGTGGTAGATAACAACAAAAGATAAACTGTGACCTCACGTTATTCCCATGTCACTTCTCATGTGTGATCTGTTGTGAGACATAGTTTTGGACCGAGTTGACAAAGTTGTTGGCTATTCTTCTTGTAAAAAATTTAGGACAGTCAAACTGTCGCTGATCCATCCTGCAGTGTAAACAGCACTGCCAGAATTCCAGTTGATCAGGAAGTGGCTATTTTGTCCTCTTTGAATACTTGGATAGAGATGCTGCTTTATTCGCACACCTTAAATGCGATGTGGCAACTTATTTTTGAATGGAAACATAGCTAATAAGGAGTCTTCACTTTTTCACATGAGTGTATTTTTGTCTAAATAGTTTGTGCTGTAATCTGCGCAGATGCTGTCTCTCTTTTCTCATCAGTGCTGACTACTGTGTTGCAGGTGGAACCGTGCCAAGCTCACTCTGGCCCAGAGAAAAGACCGTGTGGCCCAGAAAAAGGCCAGTTTCCTCAGGGCTCAGGAAGCTGCTGCAGACGACTAAAGAAATCAAACGTCAACGGCTCCAAAGAAAGTGTGCACCTTTTCCAAATAAATCATTTGGAAAGAATACGGTGTGCTTGTGGTCTTTGGTAAAGCACGACATCAAAAACTGTAGATTTGAGAAACACTTTTAATGTGCAAAGTCATGCAATCAACTTTTATAAAAATCTCCATTTAAAGTCAGCAGCAGTGGGATTTATGAGTACACAAAATTGAAGCAGTTTGACAAACAATCTGAAACATCCCATTGAAAATGGCTGATCAACAAACAAAGCACCTCTTAATTCCTTCATTCATTAGTACATCATAATGTGATGGTAGACATCTCATACAGCTTTAGCTTGAAATCTAAATGTTATTTATTTATTAGACATGCCTAAATTACTAAAATAACATTAGAAATAAATAATGATCAACTCTGTGAACTATCATGGTTGAGTAGGGCTTCATTGTTGTAGTGTTACTCGCAAGACTCCTGTAAACATTTCAACATTTCACAAAAAAAAAAAAAAGATTAATTTGATTTACACTGGTTAATGCAATAGGCATCGCATCTTATTAATTACAACATTTTTAATTTAGATTAAATGGTAAAAAACAGCCATTTTAGTTTGTTTTTGTTGAATACAAAAGAAAATATTTTGAAGAATGTTTGTAATTGTCGCAGTTTACATTCATGGTAGGAAACAATGCATGAATTTGAAATTGTACTTTGAATTATTTTGTGTTAGACAGAATAATGAAGCTCAAACAGGTTTGGCACAACTGACGTTTCAAACTATTAAAACGCATTAGTTTACATTCTCCTATATTAATAAATGCTGATAGCTATTGCAATAACTAATACTGTCAACAAATTGAACCTTTTTTTTTTTAAGCTACCATCAGATCATAAGTGGTCGGCTTGATCATTTCCGAGAATTGACCCAAGAGAAGTACACACAAGCATCGAACTCAAAATAACACACTCACTGGCAACATGCATATCAAGGCATTAGTATTTCCATTTCACAATGGCTCTTTTATGGCTCTTTTTGCTGTGCTCATGTGTGACAAACGTTACAATACGAGACTTACACAACCACACTCAGTGGTGAGTGCATTCCTTCACTTTCTACGCTAGCATCCAACAACGGATGCAAAGTTAGCATTACTTGCTCCTTCATAACATCTGAAGGAAGTGTAGAATAAACATGATCATCGATCACTTGTGTATGACGACAAAGCATGAAACGGAAACGTGAACTTCAACGTTGAGCCTGAGAAATAATTCCTCACAATTTGACGTTTCCCCCCCTAATCAAGAAAGAAAACCTTTATTTCTGGCAACTTTACCTTCCAGCAGCCATCTTGAAAATGGCCTCAAGTGCTTCAGAAGACATTCAAGAATCTAAATCAGGGGTGCCCAAACTTGGTCCTGGAGGAGCGGTGTTCTGCAAACTTCAGCTCCAACTTGCCTCAACACACCTGCAAGGATGTTTCTAGAAAACCTAGTAAGAGCTTGATTAGCTAGCCCAGGTGAGTCTGATTGGGGTTGTAAATAATATTTGCAGGACACCGGCCCTTCTGGACCAAGTTTGGTCACCCCTGACCACCCTGGCTTCTCTTCAGGAGTCGGTGGTGTGTGAGATCTGTTTCCACAGCAGGGTCTTGAGGTTATTGAGGATGAGTGAGTGCTCCATTTCCATCTGCTCAGCCGAACCCTTGAGAGCCATGCAGGCGTACAGTTGCTTCTCTAGCTCTTCCTGCAGATGGAACGGAGCTCCTCGTAGGAGGTAATCCTTCATTGCTCCGCAGGCTCGCGCCAGATTGGGCTGAGCCACCTCGGCTGTGCAACGCTGTTCTGAAAGGTCGCATGAAGTCCTACAGTCCGCACCGTACACACAGTCCTCGTGGTCCTTACAGCGCTGGAGGATCATGGCCTGTTTGAAGGCCTCCTCGGCTACTACACGCCGGCCATCCACTAGCCTGAGGTCGTGGCGGTCGGTGTAGCCAAACGAACTGGCTCTCATGTCGCACATTAAGAAGCTCCCAAAGGTACCATGGAAGATGTCTTCAATAAGTTCCAGCAAGCCGATGAAGATTTTGGCCTTGCGGGGCCAGGACGGTGTGAACCACTGGTCCATGCTTCGCCGCATTCCCGCGGGGATCCACAGATCCATAGGCCAGGGCAAGGTGATACCAAACAGCGGAGCATGAGGAACCCGCTCCACCACGTACAGGTCCCCGCAGAAGCCCAGCAGTTTAGGTGTGTGCTCTCGGCCCTGGAGCACCACCGCCAGCAGAACTTCGTTGAGCTGTAATAAAGCCCAGGCAGACTTGGCCTCCGGGAGAGAGATGTGGCCATCTTTGTTGCTGTCGGCCACTGAAAGAATTAGGCTAACCAAATTGGACAGGTTAGCTTGCTCTCCAACTTTTGCCTGCGGGAACCAAAACAAGGAAGCAAGTGTGAATTATGATATTTGTAAAGCTACAGTAGTTTATGGTCAAGTGATTTCAGCCTATAAAGCTTCTGTTACACCAGAGCTCCTGCTGTATTTATTTGTTACGTACGCAATATGGCATTCAGTGAAATGCTAATCACTTGGACGTCAAAATACGATTTAGTTAAATGCTAATTGTTTTTTCCCAAACTCTGGTGTCTTTTACTGATGAATTGAATCCACCTTCTATACAGTTTGCAGTGGATAGTCCTAAATCAGGATGCGAACCACTAACGATGGCAGCTGACAATTTGCCATATTTGTATTGTATTGCGACCATAGACTGTAAAATATATGGTCACCCATAGGTTTCTGAAGAGCGCAAAAGAAGCAACAAGTAGGCGTGGCCAACCGTTGCCATTTTGCTCGCGCGTCATCGCACCCACGGCGGGATACCAAACAAGGGCAAAGAGGCGGAGAGTGAGCAGAGCTACAGAAACGTGCTGGCATTTTGCTTGGACCTGGCTTAGACAGACTTTACTTTGGAAAAACGCTTAATACTTTATCACCTGCGACTCGTTTGTATTCTGACCACATGTGCTTAGCTGTACACTATATCAATAAAGGGTTTAGACTTTTAAAAAAAACTTGTAACACATTGACCCACTAAACATTGCTCCTGTCCTACAGGAGGAAACCGCGAATTACTTCCAAATACTTCAGATATAGTCTGTGTTAGTAAATGCAAGGCTATTGATGAAATCCAGCATAACACTGTATGATAACAAGTAATCAATCTGTCAGATTCTGCAGTGCATTACAGCTCTAAAGAACATTATAAATGATCAATATTCTTAAATAATACAAATGCATTAATAGAGATGGTTTACAAGAATATAACTTTACCTACATGGGTAATGGAGGCCACGTGAATGGTTTGTGAGCACAATTAAATGCACACAGCATCCCATATCAGCTGATAATTGTAGGAAATAATCCCAAAAGGCAACGGACTGTGTACAGCCACATAAAGCAAAACAAAAATAGGATGAATATGCCAAAATCAGTGGCTAATCTGCTGGAGTCAGCTGAGGTGAAGTGACGGCCACCAGTGAGACACAGCTGTCAATCAAGTGGCCACGCCCTTAATTATGCAAACTTAATATGACCTAATATGAAGGAAACTGATGAGTTATTAAAAAATTCACCCCCTCACAGTTGTCATGAAGGGTAATAATAGCTTTATGAACCAAAATTGTTTTTTGTACCAGGCTGTAAACGCCTTTTTTTCTGCTGTGAAGTTGGCCATTCTAACAGTGGGCTCAATTGAAATTTGCTTGATTATGGAGCCAGGACAAGCGGAATTTCGATGAATTGCAGTTTCAGTTACTGCCGTATTGGCCTCCCTAGGGAGAGCGGGAGGTTGCCGCTTGATTGCAACTAGCAAGATTTTGTTTCTTCAGCCTGACTTATACTTCAGCAAGAGTGATCGCCGTACCCCACAATGAAAACCTTGCGTGTAGCTGATGCCATTGTGAGCATTTATGCTTTTATGTCCCCGTTTACACAGCCAGTTAAATGTGACCCAATTCTGATTTTTTGCTCATACATGACAGATTGGATCTGTTTTATTACTGTGTAAACACAAAAAAATGTATATATATTCAGAGCGACAGTGTTAACCACTGAGCCACCGTGTTCCCCGTCTGCCAATTATTACTACAAAAATGTTACAAAAAAAAAAAAAAGTACCCAAACCTTCAAATGACTTGCGACCATTTCTTTGAACTTCTCTACAGATGTTCCTCGGGTGGGCTTTTCGAAGAGTGTGATCTCTTTCTTTGGCTCCAGCTCTTCCCCCAGCTCATAGTGCAGGACGTCACTTAGTTGACACTTGATGACACCGTCCTGGTCACCCCAGCTGCCCGTATACACCTGAGAAGTGCACAGCAACACAATGTCTACATCAGTGGTACTTTCTTTTAAGGGTGTTTCTAAGTGGAATGTTAAATTATTTGCCATGTATGACAATAAATTTATACAACGTAAATAATATAAATATAAAACGTAGGATTAATTTACAAACCCGGTTCCAGAACAGTTGGTACACTGTACAAAATGTAACTAAAATCTGAATGCAATGATGTGGAAGTTCTAGATTTTAAAGAGCCCATATTATGGGTTTTTGAAAATTCCCCTCCATGTAGTGTGTAACACAGCTTTAAGTGAAGTGAAGTATCCAGCTAAGGCTTAAATCTGTAAGAATACAGTGTTTAAAACGGTTGATTCATCTATAAAAGAGTCGACTCATAGTGCTTCAAACGAGTCGCCTTGATACCGAGTTATTAGGTGTTTCGCCATGACGTACGAACGAAACCAAGTTATTCACGTGCACGCGCAAACCCGGGAGATTTCAAACCTGAGGCCCCGCCCTCTGACGCAGAAACCCAGACACACAATCGATTGAAGTCACACTGCAGATGGATATTATATCGAGTCTCTACCCAAAGATGAAACTTTGGGTAGAGACAGCATTATAACCAAGCAGTTGGAAACTACTGGAAACTTCTGGAAACTACATGCTACAAAGAATACTTCATCTGCGTTTGTTAAAGGAAGGATCAAGAGTAAGTTACTTAAAGAGTAAGTTACTGATGGACGTCAGGATGGGTTTCTTCCTCCATTTCTCAAGTGTAAGTACGTGCGATTAAAGTTGTTGCCTCGTTGACTCTGGCTTGCAAATGTATTTAGTTGTGATTTGTTACTTGTAACCGCGTGTACTGTATCAGGTTAACTGGCTATATTCTCTTATCGCGTGCAAAGCCACGTTAAAAATGCGACGCGTGCTGCTTTGTTTATAGAGCTCCGTGGTATAAATTTCGCGGGAATAAATTTCCGAATAAATCGCGGGAGGGGTCGGTGACGGGTTTAATTTGGGACGGGAGCGGGCTGTCTAGCAATATCACGGATATTGCTATGCGAATGAGAAAGAGAGAGCTTTGCCTGTGTGTCTGCTTGGTGCTTGTGTGTTAGTGCGAGAGAGAGAGAGAGAGAGAGAGTGTGTGTTTATACAGACAGCTTGGCTGTCTGGACTGTATAGCTGGGTGATTTTTGGTTGTGTTCTCCCCCGCTCTTTAGCGGGATCGGGCGCGGCGGGCAGAAAACGGGGCGGGTTCTCAGGCTAAAACCTGGCGAGTGCGGGCGGAAGCGTGTGTGTGTTTTTGTGTGTGTGTGGCAGCTAAAATCCACGCCTACACTATCGAGCGTGTATGAACTGTGATAACTTTTTATATTGCTGATTAGCTATTGGGCATTTCACTCTCTGACTGAAGGCAGTCGACCAATCGCGACAGACTGTCATTGGTCCAATCAGCGCAGATTAGCTTCGCGCTAAGGAGGGGTTTGGGAACAAATGAATCACTGGACGATTCATACGGGAGTCGCTGGGATAATTAGGTAAAAATAAATGCAGATTATAAGACCATGAAAGTGTTTTTTGACCTTGCATGCATATTAGACTGTTGTTGGAGACCCTTACAACCAAGATATGACCCTATTTCATGTATAATATGGGCTCTTGAATATTTTATGCAGTATAGAACATTGATGACATGTCAAATGCTTAAACTGCGGAAATGTTTCATTTAAAGGGAAAAATAAGTTGATTCTTTTTAATTCCTGGCATCAACACATTTTTAAAAAGTTGAAACAAGACCATGTTTACCACTGTGAGGCATCCCCTCTTCTTTTTACAACAGTCTGCAAATGACTAGGGACTGAGGAGACAAGTGGTTCAAGTTAAGTAATAGGCATGTTCTCCCATTCTTACAGACTTCCAGCTGCTCAACTCTTTTAGGTAATCTTTGTCGCATCTTCCTCTTTATGATAACTGGATTCTGTCAACACATCCATAATGTTGTAATTGATGCGGCATGTAGTCTGGCATTGTCAATTTAAAAAATGCACTTTTTTAGCTTGTTATTGCTACCTGCCCCAACGTTTTTGGAATGTGTAGCTGTCTTGAAATCCAAAATGAGCCAATGTTTAGCCTGATGATTTAAAATGTTTCACTTTCAGCACTTTCAGCTAAGTTATCTATATTCTATTGTGAATAAAATATAAGTTTATGAGATTTGTAAATGATTGCATTCCTTTTTTATTCACAATTTGTACAGTGTCCCAACCTTTTTGGAATCAGGTTTGTACTGCAAGAACACATTACATTAATATATGCACCAGTCCTATAATAAGCTGTGGGAAAGCAGGTTAATGCGTTTACATGCGGACCAAAATACGTGTAACCTAAGAGGCAAAAATCTAGCTGTGACAATATGTTAACCCTTAGGTTATGCACTTTGGATCCTGACTAACAAGCTATGGTTGTCCAGCAGTTGGAGCCGCAAATCAAGCTCATGTTAGCACTAATAGAATTAACAGAGCCTCCAGCGCCTAGACTGCAGCTCTGGCAAAGAAGTTTGGCCAGAGGAAAAAATGGTCATCCCCAACTGAGCCTGGTTTTTCTCTAGTTTTTTTTTTTCCTTTTGCCAATTGCTGAAGTTTTGTTCCTCGCCACTGGCTTGCTTGGTTTGTGGAGCTGCGCAGTGATGGATTTACTCTTCAGTGTTTGGACTTTGAGCAGTAAAAATTAACCACACTGAAGTGAGCTAAACTGAACTTCAACTCTAAAATCTGGACTGACACAGTTTCAATTTGCCAGGACTTCTATATTAAGCTGCTTTGACACAATCGACATTGTAAAAGCGCTATAGAAATAAAGATGAACTGAATTGAAATGCAATTTGTGCATGTATTTGAAAACGCAACATTCTGTAGTGCATTTAGTTTTACAGGGTGGGCCATTTACATGGATACACCTTAAGATAAAGGGAATGGTTGGTTTGTGGCGCATTAGTATATGTGAGGGGGCAAACTTTGGGAATTTCACAAGAAAAATAATGATGTGCTTGGTTTTGACGTAACTTTATTCTATCATGAGTCTTTTACAAGTTTCTGACCACATATAAAATGTGTTCAGTGTGCTGCCCATTGTGTTGGATTGTCAATGCAACCCTCTTCTCCCACTCTTTACACACTGATAGCAACACCACAGGAGAAATGCCAGCACAGGCTTCCAGTATCCATAGTTTCAGGTGCTGCACATCTTGTATCTTAATGTAACGGAGGCCAGCTAGTGTGTGCTGTGCTGGTAAACCTCACTCCTCTGACCTCTAAAAGGTGCTCTAGCAACAGACACTAGAGGCCATGGTCTTTAGCCTCCTTGGTAGAGCAACCAACTCCCATGCGGAAGGTCGCCGATTCGATCCCAGCCCGGAGCGGAATGAGTGATGTAGGACCGGCGAGGTCACATTGGTGCCGTTACCTGGATGGGAGTGAGGTTTAGGGGGGTGAGTGTAACGGAGGCCAGCTAGTAAGTGCTGTGCAGGTAAACCTCACTCCTCTGACCTCTAAAAGGTGCTGTAGCGACAGACGCAAGAGGCCATGGTCTTTAGCCTCCTTGGTGGAGCAACCGACTCCCATGCGCAAGGTCGCCAGATCGATCTCAGCCCGGAGCGGGTTGAGTGGTGTAGGACCGGTGCGGTTACATTAACATTATAGACAATTGCCATCAGATGACCCCAAAGTTAAAAGTCTAAGGGGGTCAGATCGGGAGAGCGTGGGGGCGATTCAACTGGCCCACGACAACCAATCCACTTTTCAGGAAACTGTTCATCTAGGAACGCTCAGACCTGACACCCATAATGTGGTGGTGCACCATCTTGCTGAAAAAATTCAGGGAACGTGCCAGCTTCAGTGCATAAAGAGGGAAACACATCATCATGTAGCAATTTCAAATATCCAGTGGCCTTGAGGTTTCCATTGATGAAGAATGGCCCCACTATCTTTTTATTGTCTATGGTGTGAAGATACAAGATGTTCAGCACTTGAAACTACGGAAACTGGAAGCCTGTGTTGGCATTTCTCGTGCGCTGTTGCTATCAGTGTGTTGCTATCATTGTCTATATCAAAAAACTGCAAATAAGCAGATATTATAACAATTTATCGATAAACACACACCTCGTTCTCTCACTGTCCACTACTGTGGTTTGCTGATCAAATGAAAAACAAAAGACGGAGAGGAGACGAATTCTGCCGCCGTTTTCTTATCAAATTTAAAGGGGACTGAGGCGATAATTTAGTGTACAGTTTATAGGCTAATCGCAAAAGTTTAAAAATAGGCCTAGCAACACCTATGATTGCACATGTTTTCTTAAATTGCAGCTCTCTCGACCATCATAGTTATTTGAGTATTTGTATTTCATTACTTTACACCATTTGTCCCTTACGAACATGTTTGTTGAGCAAGCGGAGATTAGGTATGTCATTTGTGGCTAATCAAACACTTTGACCACATTGTTATTTACTCTATGAAAGCATTCTAAACGGATGCAAATTGCTGGATGCGGTTAAATTTGGATAAGCTCAAAACAAGGAGTGCCTGCTTCCTGCAGAGTTTAGCTCCAACAAACATGCCAGAAAGTTTGTAGCGATTCTGAAGACCTCATTTAGCCGGTTCATGTGTGCTGGACGCTGCTGGGAAGGGCATCTCTTTTCGTTCTGCTGGCGAGTGTGTCATACCTGATTGTTTGGTTTGGTGGAGAGGCACCTTCCAAAGTACAGTTTGCTTTCTTCACACAGGCTGCTGCAGGCTGAACCATCGATAATGCCTTTGCTGTATTTGTCACACTGTTGGAAGAGGACAGACCGTTTCAATGGGCTTATAAGCATGTCAATTAACTAGAAGCCAGCATTGTGATAGGAAGATATGGCAATGAACACAGAAGAAACATTTTCACCGCATCCCCAATAGATGGGGCTGTGGGCTTACAGTGTAAACAAATACTTTCCCAATCCCATTTTAAGCGACAGTTCAGCCGAAAGTAAACATTCTGTCATCATTTACTCACTCTTTACTTGTTAAAAACTTGTTCAAGTTTCTTTCTTCTGTTGAACACAAAAGAAGATATTTTGAAAAATGCAGGTACCCAATGACTTCCATTTTTTTCTTCCCTGGAAGTCGATGGGTGCCAGCATTCTTTAAAATATCTATAAAAAGCCTGTTTTATTTTAAAAAGAGGTTTAAATGGAGAGTAAATGATGAGGTAAATTTTATTTTGGGGTAAACTGTCTCTTTAGGTCATAAAGGAAGAGTTCACCCAAAAATAAAAGTTGACATCATTTACTCACCCTGGTATGTTATTTATAACCCAGATAACTTTATTTCGTTCGGAAAGCACGTAAGGTGATATAAATGCTAAAGCTATTTTTGTCAATACAATTCAATTATAAGATAAGATTTATAAACCACTGACTATTTTCAGTGATTAACAATAATCTTTTCAAGTGTACTAATCAACTGTCATTGTGCTGGATGCACCAGTATTAAAATGAATATTATTTTCATGTTTTTGCCTTATAATCACTAACCGGCAGAAAGACAAATCTATATTATTAGGTCTTAAGAAAATGAGATTTTACTAATTAATCGAAAAAAGATCACGATCTCGATTCGACTCCACACACGATCTTAATTCAGCTTTTCTACGATTCAGCCAATTATATTTTCAAGGTCAGGAGAGAAGCAAGGCAGTCGCACAAGTCTTCACAGAAACATGAACACCTTCAAATGGCGTTAAAAGTGTCACATACTGTATTTATAAGGTATAATTCACCCAGAAATGTCATTTCTGTCTTCATGTATAGATGTATTTACTGTCGTGAAATCACACGTGAGCTGACTACCAGCTACTACCAGCATAGGTTGTGAAAAACAAGTAATAAAGTTGTAAATAACGTTCAGTTTGTTGCACAGAGAGATCGTTTGAGACCCGCACTTAAAGAATGATTTGCATGTGTCACAGTGATGGCAGCCATGAGCCGCGCTAGGAAGTGAAAATTAAACTGGCCGCACATCATTTAAATGATCTTATCGCAATTTACGAGAATGATAATGACAAGCATTTGATATGTTTTTTGAACATATGCGTGAACATTTGCGTTTACTTGCTTCATTCGCGAGTCAAACCCCGCTTCATTCATGCGTCAAATCCGCTTTATTCGCGCATCAGATTCACTTCAGAACACACCCGGTTTCGCTTGATGGGCAGGGCTTCTGTCTGCCCGGTGACTCTAGTTTCATTGCTTAATGGCTAACATGGATTTTATTAAGAAAATAACAGTGTTTATGTGCTTTATGAAGGCTGAAAAACAGCATCGATACGTTTAGGGCCATGTCTGAGTCCACTAGATCCTTTCAGAGGTGCATCCAGCTCATAAACTCCTCCGGAAACTGAACCTGGTTGATGGAGGCATTTTTAGTCGTGCTTCTGATTGAGCCGAGCCCAGTTTGATGAACTGTTGTCGGTGTCGGCTGGAGGATTTCCCTCGGGACACCAACAACAGGCGCTATGTCACAATCACGCCCCCACAAGAGCAAGCTCCTGATTGGTTAATGTGCCATTGGCGCAATTCACGTCATTTGCGCCACGCACCTCGCCACAGAATGTCTATTCGTGCGTTTGCATTGACCTAACATGTAAATCACTCGCAATTGACGCTTCTTCCACGTCTGGTGTGAACACAGCATAAGACCTGATGCTTTCCTTTGGGTTCCTATAGTTCCTATATTATAGTTCCTATAGTTCCTAATTATAGTTCCTATAAATTTCCCCTCCGGACACCAATGACAGGAACTAGGACATAATGACGGCCATACTGCAGCAAGCTCCTGATTGGTTAACACGGCACAAATCACTGCTAAAGTTCAGATCTTCCAACTCACGCAAAATGCTCAACTCGCGCCGCTTCATTTATTCATTCGTGCGAATTGTGCCGCAGGATGCGTAGTCACGTCTTTGCATTGAATTAACATGTAAATCACTTGCGCTTGATGATTCACCCGCATCTGGTGTGAATGCAGCATCAAACAGTACTGTACCAGACGCGCATACGAAAGGAACTGTTACCGTATATTGCCATTCAACGTTGCTGTAACCGGATCAATTGCTTGACCCAGCCACAAAGTTGCGATGCAACGGCCTGACACAAACAAAAGCAACACACTGGCCCTGCGTAAGTCATTAAGATGTAATGAATAAAGCTCTGAATGTATGTTCATGTTGAAATAATCTATACAAAATAATAGGGAATCAAGTCACCTTGAATAAGGTCCTCTTTTTAGCAATCATTTTGAGTTCACTTTCACTGTGACTTTATAAAATGATTTAATTGATATTTTTATTATAAAAGTCTTGTATGCAATTGTAAATAGGGTATATTACGGTTGGGCGATGTCGACCAATTTGGCATCATACGATGTCCAATGTAAAACATCGCAATGGACGATGGCATTGTCGTCATGTGAAAAGCGCGGGGGGCAGGCGGTGTTTGATAGGGTGTGCGCGACGTGTCTGAAGAGTGAGGAGGAATCCGGTGGTGAGGGGTGAGAAGGGTGCAAGACTTATTTGAGGACCGGGAGGAAGATGCGTGATTTCTAGGAGATTATAACTCGTTTGCAAACCTCCGAGAGACTTGGTGTGTCTGAATATCACGTTTAACGACTATAGTGAGACGCGATCCAGCGGTACATCCTTGATAAACTGTCCGACGTGCACTCCTCACACGAGCTCAGATGAGCCCATGACAGTGTGTGTGGCTGTGTGTGTGTGGTCACGTGATGTGCGTTTTCAGCGGACAGAAAGCTGTTCAGAAATGTTGGGTAAAACACGATGTGGTTGTGGATCATTTTTGTTCTAAAATGCAATTTTAACACTAAGACGTATTAGTGTAAACAGGGCCTAAGTGTATTTTTCGCGAGTGGGTTTGCGACGGAGGATCGGCGATGCCGGCTCAGCATCATGTTGTCTGTCTAATGGCCATCGGCAATGGACGATGGCATCGTCTATCGGCCCAACCCTAGATTCTATTGTTCAACTTTATCTTTTGAATTACAGCTAGCAAGGTTCTTTCTCGAGCATTTTTAATATCATAATTTATAATATGCTTATGCTAATTATATAAACTCTACATCTGTGTTTCTCAACTGGTGGGTCATTTTCAGTAGGTCGCAGAGTGTGTGGTCAAAAAAACAACAAAAGTTAAATTTTTTACTTATTTTGCTTATGTGGGACTTTTATTTTGAAATGCGCATACAACAACCGTACCTTTTGATATGTGAAATTTCATTCAATTATAGCAACAAATATGTCGAAGCGCAAGTACAACCATGTATGTAAAGTGTGGATTTACATATATTGACGACAAAAAAGGCTTAAAACCTCAGTGAGTAGTGAGGTGCTCTCACAAGAGAGCATGAAACGTTCTAAATTAAAACAACATTTAGAAACCAAACATCCCAGTAGCAAGGACAAATCTGAGAACTACTATCAAAGACGACTCCAATAGCTGAGGACATCACAAAAGTGCCGAACATCTTCATGTTCAAAACTAGTACAGGCACTCCGCACATCTTACAATGCTCACCATGTAGCAAAGGCCAAGAAAGCCTACACAATAGCAGAAGAGCAAATAAATGGTGATTATTATAAAAAATGGTTATGATTATTTTAATCATTTTACTTTAATTTGCTGGTTTGTTCAACAGGATCAGTGTTAACGTTTTATTAACAGTTCACTTTAGTAACTGAACTTTTCCTAACCCTAACCACTGTTTACAGTATTTGAGGTTTTTACTAGTAATATTACTATAATTTGATACATTTTGTTAAATGACAGGGATAAAGTATTGTTTATTAGTACCTAAAAATTTTAAGAGGAACATATTTGTACTTTTTAGGTACTGATATGTACTATTGAGGTATTAATATGGACCTTGTAGGTACAAATGTGTAACTTTTGAAAAGGTACCACCCCAGTGACAGCTCCTGTACCTTTATTTCTGAGAGTGTAGGTTAACAATATTCAACCAATTTTAGAGGGGAATTTTTTTTTAATATAAATCTTAAATTAACTTTTTTTGTGACAAAATCTGGGATTTTAAAAAAAAGTCCATATAACCTAGCCCTAGTTAGTGTTTTTCTAAAATGCGAAAGTGCGCTCTTTTCATTGTTTGTTTTATTATTTCATTTGCCCATGGGAGAAATAACTAGTAAAAACAAACGTTGATAAATCAAACTACTACAAACACGCGTTTATGATGATACATGAAATAATATAATGACAAAATACCAGTTTGTGTCATTAAGCTGCACTATGAGTTGTTACAGCTATAAAAAAAACAAACAATAGAAGTCAATGAAACATGATGTCTTGGGTCAATGAGATTCTGTTCTGTTACATCACTTCTGCTATTAGTCAATCACAAATGCAATGAACAGAAACAATCATACTCACAATGATGCTCTTGCATTCTCGTCCTCTGCACAGCTCAGTGTACGTGGAGTACTGGACATAAACAACCCAACTGCTCACAAACACAGCAAGCCACGTGAGAAAGAGATACTTCACTCGAATATAGGACAGGCGAGCCTGAGGGACAGGAAGCAGAAAGTAAACATAAGCTGGGTCTATGAACGTTATCACAGTCCAGGCTCAAAGTAAACACAAAGCCTGACTGAAAAAGTCAAATATTTACTTGTAGTTTATTACTCTGTCAAATATCAAAAGCGAAAAGAAGTCTGAATAGACAACTCTGTGTCAATATAAAAAACATCAACAGTTCACAACTCGCTTACTGTGCTTTTATAACTAGCAGCCAATGATTCATGAAATCAGTACAGCCACGGTGTGATTGTAAGGTTGGTAATCATCTGCTACATTAACTCATTTCAATGAATTCTCTAAGACTTAAATGGTTCTTTAAGTTGGATAACTTACACACAAGTGGCTTCATTTTGACGGTCCAGGGTGCAAACGCTTTCAGGGCGTGTCAGAATCCACTTTTGCTAATATAAGGACGGAAAAATCTGCTTTGCAATGTGGCGCATGGTCTAAAAGGGTTCAGTTTGTTTTCCTAATGAACTATAGGTGTGTGTTGAGATCAGAGTCTCATCTCCCATTCCCTTTAAGAGCCAGTTGCGTCACGCCATGAGCGCATTTGCTATTTACATGTCGTAAAGTAAGTGTAAGTATAAAAACTGAGCGCTTCACTAGCAAGAAAACAGTTAAACAGAGCATCTACCGCGCGAGAATGAGAGATAAGACATCTCATAATCTAGTTTCACTTTCGCTCTCGTGGATAGGGAAACCTTGTACGCACAGACATCTATTAGCCTATAAATAATTAATTTTGTTTGTTAAGCACAAAGATTTGTCTCAAAACTGTTTGTAAATTCAGTTCTAATTTCCAGCAAATGAATAAATAAACAATAATAACGAAGTGTGCTCAAAAAACTGAGTTAAATCCAAATACACATGCTGTACCCATAGAATGTACCCATCAAACCCACCTGAACCAATTAATTAGGACCTGAAATCCACTTGATAATTACAGACAGGTGTGTTTGATAAGGGTTGCAACTGAAATCTGCAGGAAGGTAGATCTCCAGGAACAGGATTGGCCACCCCTGGTCTAAAATCTGACAGGTGGACAAATCTAAGCTTATTTTTAATAAAACAAATATAAATATGCATATAATAAATAATACTGCTAATAATAATAACATTATACAACAGCAAATTAAATGAATTGAAAAAGCCTCCCGAGATGAAGAAAGTATGAAGGCAGTGGATTTTAATTTCATGTAGGCTAGAAAATAATGTTTTGTAATATTTTATTTCTTTATATTTATATCCTATATATATCCTTATTGTATCCTATATATATCCTTAATATTTTATATATTTTTCATATGTAAATATATTTGCCTATTGCTCTACATCTTATGTGTATTAAACAGTGTGTATGCCAGACGCACTCTGCGCCAGACAATAGATCGGCTTTGTTCTGGTCTAAAAAACAGACTATTATAGTTTCTTAAAATAGCAACGCGCCAGGAACTCGCCAAAACACGCCTGCTTTTTTAGACCAGAACGCCTATGGGCGCATATATGAGCGCAAATGCATTTGCTATTTAAACAGCGTGGCGCAACACCTCAAAACGACTCTTGCGCCGAGCTGAGAGTAGCAAATAACAATTGCGTCGCGCCTTGCGCTGGGTGTATGATAGGGCCCATGGGCTTTAAACTACAAAAAGTCCTGAATGAAGCCTGTCTTTGCCCCTGAAATGAAAAGGGTGAATGAGTTTTATAATATATAATAACATTATATGTGTGATGTGTGCTATGTGTGTCAATGCACTCACATCACTAGATAGTTGGCACTGACAATATTTAGATAAAAGCATGTACATTTATAAAGCTATACTTTGAATTATATCATCTTTGCATTAAATTTGAAAAAAAAAAGAGAGAGAATTGAGCCTTATGTGAGGTGTTTCTAATGCAGTGTCTATGGGCGGGACAACACATTTGACATTGTTCTTTCTTCTGGTTTCCGTCACCACACATTTTTTTCCTTTTTTGAAAGTCATGACAAAACTACTGTGGATTTTCGAAACTGTTCTCCAAAATAACTCGACTGCGACAACACATTGTTACGCGTTAAGGATGTTGAAGTGGGATGCTGTAAAATTTAAGTGAGACAGGTGTAATGTGTGTGACAGATCAATAATAAACGGAAAAAAAGAAATAAACATTTACAGTTATTATCTTTAAACAAAAACGAGTGTAAGCCAAATCAAAGAAATTAACAAAACAAAACAATCCTTAAATCTAAAGTCTAAACTAGGTGTCAAAAAGAAACACAAATAAAAACAGAGATCTTTAGTGTATACGACACCCGAACTAAACTAATTAAACTACAAAACTCAAAATACACAGATGGCCAAACACTCAAACTAATCTAACAAAACATCAATCTAAACTAAAACAAACCGGATAAGTCCGTCAAAGCTTAGTTTAGAATCACACAACAACCATCACATTATGTTACTTAAAGCCAACGAAGTTCAACAAGCGAACTCGAATTACCACAGTAACTGAGATTATAAAATCACTGAATAGACGAAGCGTAGCAAAAACAAATTGCGTGGAGCACAAATGGTACGCCGAGGCAGAGCGCACACCACAAACTGGTCTGTCGGGGCTTTAAATCCTTGCGGCTTGTCCTGGGATTGGTGGAAGAAAGGATAATCATAAGACGTTAATATTAGGTTAGATTTAGGGCATAACGTCGAGTGACCAAAACTCATGGTCTAGTCATGGTCTAAAGGACAAAGTTATTTTAATGTCCAATAAGACGTCAAATGATGTTATTATTTGGTTGATTTTAGGTTTTGTTGGAAAGTGACCAAAATCCAACATCAAGCCAACATCTTAAACCAATGTCATATTGACATCAAATACTGACATTTATTTGTCATGTTTGGCAAACTAAATCCAACGTCTGATAGACGTCATAGTGGTAGCGTCCACACAACGCCAAGCTGTATCATCATTAGACATTGATATCTGGTTGATTTTAGGTTGACTATTGGACATTCACATCGGATGAAGTTGGTTTGTGACGTCAACTAGATATCCATTTCCAAACAAAATGTAACAACCCCACGACGTTAGGATACAACTTCGATTTGACGTCATGTTTACGTCCTTTGCCTGTTGGGTATTGTCATGCAAACAACACTAGAAATTAATGAATCAATGACTTTTTTACTTCCTCGATGGCGGAAACAAATTTCTATTACAGTATGTCGATTTGGTGCTCAAGAAACATTTCTTTTTCATCACCTTAATCCTTTATGCAGATACATTTTCTGAACTTTTGTTAATTACAAAGTTAAAAAGAAATAAAATTATTTTAATGTCATTTTTGCACTCACTTTTGAACAATTAAATGCATCTTTGCTAAATAAATAAATAATTTAATTAAATATAACTAAAAAGCATTGATTTCATTTTTTTAAAGGGGTGGTCCACTACCATATCATATTTTAGACTTTAGTTGATGCGTAATGTAGCTGTGTGAACATAAAAAACATCTCTGAATGTAAGACGCTCACATTTTAATGCAAAGGGAGACACTGGCTTTTACAGAGTTAGCTTAGCAAACCCTAGTAGCAAAGAATTCTGGCCCAGATTAGGCATAAAGCTGGCACAGCAGAAATTCATCCGCCACTGGCATACAGCATGTGGGCCAAACATGGCCCGGGTTTGGCAGAGCTGGCACCGTCTTTAAGGCAGCACACAAGATTTGGGCCAAATGTAAAACGTAGTATTTGGCCCAGATTTAAAAAATTGATATGTGGGCCATGTAAGTTTGGCCAGTCTTGACCAACATTTAAAATACATTAAAATATTTTTTGAGTAAAAAAAAATTAAATAAATTCTACCAATCAGGTCACTTTGAGAAAAAGCACGCCCATAGTGTGTCTAAAGTTCAACGCTTCATGGGTTTATCAGTTTCATTGCAATCGTGACACACCAACCTATCTTGCCCAGTTCAGGCCCAGTTATGAGGTATTAACTTGGCTAAGACTTGGCCCAGATATGGTCCGTGTTTGGCCCTTGTCTGGAAGCTAGATTTGGTCCAGTCATATACTGTAATTCACTGCGGCATGTGGGCCAAGCACAACCTGATTGAGTGGGCCAGAGAAATTTTGCTATTTCGGAAGCCTACAGCTAACAGGGACAACAAAAAAAAACATCCGGGCTAGTGAGATCACAAACGTTTCAGGTTACGCGCATTGCCTATGTGCATACACCTCGCACAGCGAAGAGGCGTGGCCAGAGGTGCTGTAATGTTATAGCAGAGAAATAACATTAGACTATTTTCACAGAGCTTGTTCCATTTCTATATTTGGGCTTCCAAAGAACGTGACACAAAGAGAGAAGTGCTTACAGCTCAATCTTAATTATGTGATTTTCTACAAATGAAGCATGAGCACACATTGCTTTGCATCTTATAAACACAACTAAGCCTTAAAAATACACTCTAGACCACCCTTTAGAAAACGTACTAACCCCGTGTATGTAAACAGTATAATTTACATTATATGTATTATTTACATTACATATAGTATTAGGAATTTCAGATTAATTTTCTTAATAAATGCATTAAAAATGCAGTAAAACATCTTCAGAAAAGCAGTTTAACTGTATAATGTGGCCACACATTTTTGATTCTTTCCCGTGTTGAAATGGTGCTAGCGTAGTAGGCGTTTCAGGGTGTCAGTGTGGGTGTGAGTGCCTGCACTATCTGTGGGTGTGTGTGGAGATCCCTGTAAATAACGAAGCTGTGCTAAGTGCCATTTTTGTTAAAAGTAGGTCAACAAACTGCACTGCAGACATCCGAGATGTCTAAGCTTAGCAAAGTCTAAACTGTCTGTGCCTTTGCCAGTTGGGGACTACACTAGCAGGGACCTGGAAGAACTGTTAAATGATTACAGTCATGATATAAAGCATATGACTGAAATAAAAAATAGCTTTGTTTGTTTAACCAGCTAAGCAAGGTAAAACAGACTCAACCA